TGGAGAAAAAAAAAAATTGATAAATTGGATTTTGAGGGAGAGATGATGACAAAATTGGAAATGAAATAGTGGTAGGGAGTTAATGGCAAGAAGTTTTTAAAATGGGGGAGTGCATTATACACAAATAATGTGTTAAGACTGAATATATATATGAAAATTGGGGGAGGGATTTATTTCAAATTGTCCGTTTTCAAAATGTGGGAGTGCAATATACACAAATAATGTTTGGGGACTGAATATAAATATGAAAATTGGGGGAGGGATTTATTTCAAATTGTCCCTTAAAAGAAACTCAAATGTACTAATATTAAAATGAAAATAAAAAATAAAAAATTATTTTTTTTCGATAATTATGTACAAAAACCCTTGCTAAGAATGCGTTAGAATGCAATAAGTCATTGTAATACCATATATAATTTCATTATACCGGAAATCATTTGTCTCACTACTACAATTAATTATTTATTCCCAAACATTCAAAAAATTTATGGTGACAGGAAATATTTATTTTAAAGGCACTGTCCATAATTAATTATTGAAACACTCATTTAAAACAATAAGGTTGTGTTCTTTTTATAAGTTTTACCACATGTTTTTTTATTATTTAGAATTTTTTTCTTTAAAAAATATCACATCGAACAATTATTTTTCTTATTTTGTGTTATACTACAAATTTATTTTACATTTAAAACATCACATCAATTTCTATTTATATCACATCAAACAACTAATCAAATTCAACTTTTTATTTTTCAAAAATTCAAATCCAAAACCTAAATCCCACAAACAAACACACCCTAAGAAACATTAGGTAGGCAACATTCCTTAAATTTTAACTAATTTTTATAATTTAAAAATTATTTTTTGTGGTGGAAGTGAGAATTTTTCCATGTAGAGATGAAAAATAAAATTATAAATATTTTGATTACTCAAAAAATAACACAATTGATGGTAACTTTGGTGCATATGTTTATGATGAACAAAAAACAGAAGTAGATGAACAAATCTATTCTTATATGATATTGAATCTTTCCTATTATTGAAAAAGTAGGAATTGAAAACTGCAAAAAGATTATTGTATTTGTTGAAAATAATTTTTAATTTTAAACTTAATTTTAAAAAGAGTATTGATGAAAGCTTCAATTTTTTTTATTTTTTATTTTTCAAGTTAGTACAAATATAAGGCAATGGAGGATACAAATATTGATATTTATATTCCAATAGTCTTGTTAAATGATATTTATATTTATAATGTTTTAGGGTAAAATAAATAGATTGAATGAAAAACAAAATGTGCTGCTACATATCATAAATGTAACAATATTTGAACTTTTAGTGTCATAATAATTATTGAACAATAAGAAATATATTTTGACATCTTGTCGTTATTCTTGGATCAATTATCTCGTTTGGTTTGCTCATGATATTTGCTTTTGGTGGTATTAATAATTATGATTTTATTGAGTATGCTAAATCTTGAGGGATCAACTCCTTGTTCAATAATCTTTCTCTCTCTCTCCGTACCAATAAAATTCTAAAACATCATAAATGCTACAAACAATCCGAAATGGTATCGATCAAAATTTACTACAGTGATATTCTAAAAATCTTAAATTTTATGAACAATCTAGATCAATACATAATTTTGTTTATGATTTATTCTTTTTCTTTATTTTAGCATTACAACCCCAACGATATGACATTAATCAGAGTTTATTGCGATAAGGATATGGACTTTTTTTTTTTCACGATATATTATTCATTTGTCATACTTTCACTTCGTCATACTTGCTTTCAATGTTTCATTGAGATTTTAATTGCAAGATAACTTGAATCCATTGAACAAATATAAGTTGACTAGCAAAATCTAGTTAGAATGTTCCAAAAGAATTTTACACTACTAGATAGAACCAAGACCTATCGTGAAATTGACTTTCTCAATTAACCAGTCATGAAGGTAAAAAAGAGAGACCCACTGAACACATATAATAATGAATTCAGAAATGGATAATTAGCTCAATAATTGAATATTACTTTTATTTTAACTAGATTGCCTTTAGGCTAGCAGAGAAACTTGATATGGCATGTTAGTTGATCGAGATTGAACATTGAGTGTCATTTAAATAACAACTTCATTGCATTTCACATATCATATATTATGCGCATTGCATAGCCAGTGCATCAACCCGCTCATTACTTGCCTTTTCACATTATATTTCTACTTTAGCCAGTTTTATTTTTTACTCTCGTTCGCAGCAATCCATTGACTATTTTCTAATTAAAGCATTATGTATCCGTATTATCCCTTGAGTTCGACCTTGATACTCACTAGTTAAAGAGGTTTTGTTTTGTTTGACAGAGTTTATGAACTTACTACATGCACACTCACATAGAATTTAATTTTCATATTATATCTATATTGTTTTGCCAAAAAACGTCACGCAAACTGTATATTTATTTCTACTTCATAAAATATCCGAATAATAATGTCGTAGTGATATCCACTAGCAATGGTTTTGCTTTCCCATAATGTTCTTAGTTCTAAATTTTAGAATTTGTTTTAAGCTCCAAGGTCAAGTACCAATAGAACCAACATATTTCTCTTAACCAAACAAAATATGATAACTTTTGCTCTTACATTCACCTCATAGTTATAAGTATAATTCCTCTAACACCGATCATCATACCATTCACGTTACACTACTTCTACATCCTTGAATAGTAAGGAGTTTGTTAACATGCGACCTCTATCACCCCTATATATTCCACTCTTATCATCACCCTGCCCATAGAACTGTTCTACTTTGTTATACATATGATCTCGCTGACCTAGATACATTCACCGCACTCAATAATTCGAACAACTTGTATTATATTCATCACATGCATCGTTCTTTAATAACATTAATTTCATACAATACCCACCCATTAGACTTTGCTTTGCTTTCATTTTAATAGATTAAAACTTTAAATTTGCACTTAGACATAAATTAAATTTCACTTCAATTTTTGCATAGTCAACATTAAAGTTCTTTGAATTATTTTTCGACTTAAAATCCCTGAAGTTGATCTAGAAATTCACCAATCAACAAGTAAAAATTGTGTTATAAACACCAGAGATAGGCAACAACTTCGACTTCACTTCTTTCAATATCTCTCAATATCAATAGCCACAATTACACAAATTATTCTTATCTTCTTTACTTACCTCTAGTCTTTTACGAAGAGATGTGATTTCATGCAAATCTATGAGATTGCCACTTTATTACATCATTTGAGTGCTACCTCAATTATAGACTTAATCGAAAGAGAGAACATAAATATGCCCTTGAGAGGTTGATTTGGCTTTATATATATATATATATATATATATATTTTACTTTGAAATGATTTCATTGTACAACGACTTTCCCTTCGATTCTAAGTGCTATATGAATTGTTTAGGCTTATTTCAGATCCATGCTTGCGGACAAGCAAGGCTCGGGAGAATTGATATTTTACAAAATATGTATTTTTTTGTTTATATTTTAGGGGCATTTACGTTGTTTGATATGAATTGTATTAAATTTGTGTATATTGATACACTTCGCAAGGATATGAAACATTTGATAAATTTGGTGATTAAACTTAAATGCACCACAATTAGGGATGGAGAATTTACCGAACATATCGAAATACCGACTTATCGTACCGTATCGTGTCGAAAATACCGAAAATTTCGGTAATTTTCAGTACGGTATCGGTATGAATTTTCGAAAAGTTCGGTATTTCGGTATGATACCATACCAATATTATTTTTTATTAAATTATTTAATTATTAATATAAATAATAATTATTAATATTTTTTTAAATCATAACAAAAAATATATAAACTATTGAAAATTTATTAGTTTTTTCATAATATTTTGTGGTGGAGAATAGTGATATTTATTAATTTTTTTTAATTATTTTGAAATTTAAAATTATATTTTCGGTATAATCGGTATATACCAGTATCTACCGAAATCAAAATTTTCGGTATAAGCGGTATATACCGGTATCGTACCGAAATTGAAATTTTTGGTACGGTACCGGTATGTATTTTAGTCATACCGAAAAGTTCGGTACAGTATCGATATCAATCGATATTTTCGGTACGGTACAGTATGTCATCCCTACCCACAATCAAGATACTACCACTCTTGCTACTACTCAACTTGCTTGAACAATTGTACTAAGGTTAGTTGCAATCTTGGTACTAATATATACTCCCTCCGTCCCAAACACCCTACAATATTTTATTTTTGATATGTCCCAAACACTCTACAATATTTTTAAAATAGAAAATAATTAATTATACTTAATCTCTACCCCACACTTTATCCCCTCACATCATCCAAATAAAAAAATAAAAAATATATATTTCTCTCTCCATCACATCACCTAATTTCTAAATTATCCTACTTAATACTACCCACTTAAAATCTCGTGCCAAAAACAAATGTTGCACCTTGTTTGGGACGAAGGGAATATAACATACTATCTCTTAGAAAAATCTTTCAAAAGTTCTTTAGAAGATTTTATGATTTACCAGCTCATATAAAATGTAACAAAATTCACTTATATACATTACGATAACCAAAATTCAGAAATTCTTCGTGAAGGAAAATGAATATAAAAACCAAATTGTTAGAAGATTTTTAAATCTTTCAAATTATAAACCAAATTTGAACCTTTGCTAGAATTACTTAATAATTAACACAACTATTTAAATATAAAATTTTATTATTTAAAACTCAAATACCCAATCCACTATAATTATAGCCATGCCTAGACCCACACAATTTATCGAATAAATTTGAATATTTTTAAAATATATTATAAATAAAAAAGCTAATGATATATTTAGTATTAATTTTTTTTATTATCAATAACAATATGATTTTTATGATTTTCTGAAAAAAATTATACAAGATAAATTAAAAAAATTAAAATATCAGAGTGGGGCAACCCAACACAATTTGAACCAAGCCATACCCGAACTTAGACTTCTAGGCCCAATTAAAAGTGGGCCGGACCTTGTCAGCAATCAGCATTGACTGAAACCGGGCCGGCACAAAAAAAACCAACCCGAAATTACCACCCCTACCTACAATCGGGTTGGATTATTACAAACAAATAAAGATTTTGTGATCAAGAAAATGATTGGTTTGCCATGGCAACACATGATTCTTTTCCCTCTTCAAATTCATCCATAATACTGTGTGTGCTATTCTTAAAAAAGGAAAAGGAAAAAAAAAAAAAAAATAGGCATAAAATGTAGAACATGAAAGAAACAACACAGCTATGGCCTACGGGCATATGACAAATCAATTAACAAAGCATCAACCAATATCACAACACTCCAATTTGCTCATTCAAATAGAGCCCAATTGTTGTTTCCAGCGCTTCAATGGCACCCTTGTGAAGTGATTGAACTGATCATATAAACCTGTCCAAAACACACACCCACACATCAACTATTTTGATCGATCGATCATGCAATGAGATAGAAACAGAAACGGAAGAACCAATTATAAGATGCAATCGAAGACACGAACAAGTAAAGCCCAGTTTCAGAAGTTTCGGCAGCTCAAGAATTACAAGCAGCCATGGTAACGATGAATTAAGTATATTGGAGGCGAAGTAGATCAGAAGCAGAAGCAGAAGCAACAATTCAACATTGTTCAGATAACATTCAACCATATAAGAGGACCAAATGCCGGTTATCAGAACACATGTAATACAGGAAGCAATAGCATTGTCGGTATTTTTTTCCGCGTCAACACAAGTGTAAATTGAGAAGGAACTTAAAAACTAACAACAGCCCGACAATCACTTGTAGATGCTATTAATACCCAAATGAAATTAAATTCTAGCACAAGAAAGTTCACATAAATTCTATGCTTAAGACAATAACAACTTTCACTGAATAGATCAAATTGAAAATGCGTAATACAAAAGAAATACAAGAATTATTCCTGTCCAAGAGAATAATAACTTTCACTAAATCAGTGCAACTTATGGTCTAACATGCTCAAATTGAAAATGCATAATACGAAAGAAATACAAGAATTACTCCTGTCCTACAGGGACACGCTCCCTGTTCCAAGCCTAACCGTCGAATCCTAAATTCCAGTTTTTTATAAGAGTGAAGCAATAACCTTTGCACCTATTTATTTATTGGTAGCTAACACTAGAGCTTACCTACAAACCTAATTGGTCTTACCCATAACGGGCTTAGCTGAACATAATTTTTCCTAACTGAGCAGCCAGCAGGGCTTGAGTTGCACAAACACTAGATGCAGAGCCAACAATTTATGCAGATTAACAGTCTCGATGTTTGACAAAACACAGTATTCATTTCTTAGAATTGTCTCTATATTGAATAGAAGAGAATGGAGAAAAAACACATCTTTTAAATTTTGACCCTAAATCGGGGTTTGAGCCAACAAACCACTTCAAACTAATTACATTTTGGAATATAACACAAACAAAAGTACATTCAGTGCAGCAATTAAATTCGTTTTATACCAAAATCATGTGAGGTATTCATGGCTTATGAAATAAGTTAAACTAATAGACAACAGTAATTCCTCTACAAGCATTAAACTGTGGAATGTTTCCTAACAGCTCAAGTTTCAAATGGAAGTAAACAACACAAACATAAATGCATCAGTAAAACACATAGCAGAACCAATAATAAAAGCCAAAAATCAAAATCAAAAGTGCAAAAACAGAAGCTAAGATACCTCACCTAGCGGCCGAAATAGGAAGGAAAATTCATCGATGAACCCGCTGCACCACTTGTAGGTACCCTGGCTGCTGTGGTTGTAGTCGCCATCGACCCCATCGAAGATTGCCCTGTTTGAACATTCTGGAAGGCTCCCAATCCATTCAAAGCTGCTTCTGACCCATAGTTTCCCATCACACCACTTAGCCGACGAATCCCATAATTACTACTCATTCCGACAGCCGGAGTGCTCAATCCAGAGGCTACTAGACCTGCCGGACTATATCCTGCTGCAAACATTCCAGCCCCTGAATTTGGTGCCATCAAGAACCCTCTAGCATTCATATTAGCTCCTAGAATCGCCGGATTCACTCCCAAATTAGCATAACTGATGTCGCTGGCAGCCGGAGCAGCACTACCTACATCTGTGGATCCATGGCTGCTGCTCTTGCTCAGATTCTCATTAAACTTCTTGCAATGCAACTGACTATTCTCAAACACTTTAATAGGTTCCTCCATAGCCTTCCTGTAACCATCGGCGGTCTTGTAAGTAATAACTGCGAATCCTTTGAATGCATTTGTCGCAGGATCAAGCCCAATTGGTCCATCCTCAATCTCACCGAATCTCCGGAAGAATGCCTTGAGCTTGTCTGGCTTAATCCACGGCCCCACATTGCCAACGTATACCTTCAAGTTCCCATCCTCGGCAGCCGTCGACGAAGATGAACCCATGGCCGCAAGCTGGCACGTGACGTTCCTGCTCCCAATCCTCTTCTGGGGTTGTTTTAGAGCCTTTCTGGCGCCGGCGCGGGTCTTGAACAACACAAAGGCGTATCCCTTGGCGCGGCCGGTGTTTCTGTCAGTGATTAGTTTGCAATCCTCGAGCTCGCCGTAGGGCTTGAATGTTTGTTGAAGCTGCTCCGCCGTGGCGTCCCAGCCGAGCCCGAAGACGAAGAGATTCCGGTGGGCGGGATCCGAATCGACTTTCGCGACTACCTTCGACAGGAGCTTTGGATCCTTGGCGGCAGCCTCTTTGAGGAGGTCGACGATTTGGGATTTTCCGAAGGGTTCCAATAATTCGCGGAGGGTTTCTCGTTTAGATGCCTCGTTGCTTTCATCATCCTCTTCAGAAGAGTCTTTCTCCTCTTCGTCTTCGTCTTCGTCTTCAGACTCCTCTTCCGACTCCTCCTCTTCCGAAGATTCTTCTTCTGATTCCTCTTCTTCCTCGTCAGAGGTTTCTTCTTCCTCCTCTTCTTCTTCTTCGCGAATTACTTTGGGTTTCGGCTCCTGGACCTGCCGAGAAGAGGGAGTTTTACGCTTCCTCGCCATTGGAGTAGTTCTTAAAGCTTATCGATTTGTTACGCTGCGATCTTCAACTCCACTCGGATTTCTGAGTGTGGAATCGATAAGGGTTAGGGTTTTGGAATCCTTCTACAGAGCTCTACTTATAAAATGACCTCTTCTATTGTCCTTTGGTCTAAAGATGGCAATCAAAATGATATTTCAATTCTTTCAAATGGTTTCAAAATCTCTATTCTAAAATAAATAAATAAGAAAAAACAAAAAATAATACAAAGCGAAGAATAAATAAATATATTTTGATATATTTTGATATTTTAGATAGGCTTTTTTAAATTTTGTAATAGACTAAAAAATATAATAATAAAAGTGAAATGTAAAATGATTTTGATATTTTTATTTTTGACATTTTTTTAGAAATATAAATTAATTGTATATGTAATGATATTTTTTTAATTTATTTAAAAGTTAAATATATTTTGATATTATTGTAAAATTATTTTTAAAAAGACATTTGAGTGGAATGAACAAATTTAATCAAAGAAGGGTTTTTTTTGGAGTTTTATATGGATTAAAAAAACAATTGTATTTTATTAATTATTGGAATTGTGCAAGAGTTTTTGATATTTTTGCCTTTTTTTATTTTACTAGTAATTGTATGTGTAATGATATATTTGTAATTTAAGTGAAAATTAAGTGTATTTTATTATTAATGTATGATATTTATACTTAGTAGTTAAAATATACGAAAATAGTAAAAAATATACTCCCTCCGTCCTATTGGAAGGGTGACATTTGTTTTTGCATGTATATTTTTAAATATTAGTATTATATTGGATTGTAGTAAAAAAGACAAAAATATCCCTATTAGTATGGTGTAATATAAAAGTAATGATATTTGTATAATATATTGTAAGTTGAAATGATATTTATTATGTTAGATATGTAATACAATTACTAAATTAGGAAATTGTAACCTTATTTTGGGACAGACAAAGAAAATGATAACATTTCAATGGTACGAAGGGAGTAGTCAAATTTTGAGTTGAAATTGAGAAAGTAGCAATATCTTTATCCAATCAATAATTATTGTTTGCACTAAAATAAAAAAATGGATAAATTATATAATACGCCTAGTAAAATTGCATAAAAGACTTTTGTTCACTTATGGGGTTTTTTTACCCTGATCTTACTATTTCAATTTTTTTTTCCCTCTAAAAAATATCAAATCAAACATCTATTATTTATTTATTATATTACACCAAAATTTTATTGTACATTCAAAACATCACATCAATACATATTTATATCACATCAAATAACTATTTTAAATATCACACGATCTTGACCATCCATTATAGGTCTTTGATCTCGGCCGTTCATTCCTATTTGCCTTGAGTATATATAGATAGAGAGGGAGGACACAAACCTCATTCATTCTCTCACTCTCACACTCTCTCGCTCTAACTCTCCCACTTTATAGCCTCTCTCTCTCGACCTCTCTGTTTATCCTTTCCGGTGACCTTTTCCGGCGGTTTCCTCCTGTAACTTGTGGAGTCCCTGTAGCGCGGAGTTTTACCCTTTGTTTAGTTGTTCGTGATCGCAAATGGCTTGTTCAACCTTTAGGCGTTTGTTTTTTTGTTTGTTTCGCCTTGTATATACTTGAGGGGGTTCATTTTGTGCGAGTCGTGTTGGTTTCGGGCCGGTTAAAAGTGTGTAGTCGCTAGTTAGGTGGATTTGTGTGTCGATTTACTATTTTGAGTGGTTAGGGGCTGAGCGTAACCAAAACAAGTCTAATATTTTTGTTTTAACTCGATTTCGTTAATAAAACTTTAGATTTTTTTTCGTATATTTCTATAACAAGTGGTATCAGAGCTATTTGGTGTTTTTTCGTTTTCGAAATCGAGTTATATTTTTTGTTTTGAGGTTTTTTGGTTGTAAGTCTTTAGATCTACGAAATGATCTGGTTGAATTAAACTTTTTTTGGTGTTTCGATTCTTTTCCTAATAGATCTGTTGAATACCGGCCAAAATCTCACTCGATTTGTGCTTTTTAGCCTCGGTCGTGTGCGATTTGTGTTGAACGTGACTTAATCGCTACAAAAATCTATGTAGTTTGGTTATGTTTGAGTCAAGATTTGGTTACTTTGTTACAAAACCATTTTATTTTTGATAAACGAGTTTTGTTTTTCAAACCTCCTTTAAATAAAAGGTGTAAATCGAGTAAAGTGCCTCTGTTTTTGTAAAGATTTGTTAAAGATCCTTGCGTATCTATATACAGGGAGTCAAAATCTAAAAGGTTTTGTAAATCTTAAAAGTTGGTAAATATTTTTTGAAGATCTTTATATTTTCAAACTAAATCTCGTTTGAAATCTTCAAATCTTGAAGCCTTGTTTGTTAGTGTTCGTTTTTTTTTTTTTAGTCGGCAGTGTGTAATATTCGATCTGTTTCGGGGATTCTAAAAATCTGTTAGAAGAGAAACAAATTTTGTGTTTGTTTTCTGTTTTTGTGAAACTATTTTTTGGCTAATCCTTATTTTCTACAAAAGAGAATATGTTTTGTTTTTTGTGAGTTTCCTACTGTTTTGTAGGAACATAATTTTTTGTTGCTGTGCTACAAGGGTAACCCCTGAACTCACATTTTTTTTTTACTTCTTTGTGTTTGTTTCAATTTCTGCATTTAATTTTTGTGCCCAAAAATAATTTTGTAAAGGCTATTGTAAAACGAAGATTACTAAACTCCGATCCTCACTTTGTGAGTAATTCTCGAGTACCTCGGTTGAATAGTCACGAGTGTATGTTGTAATAGTTAGGTTAAATATTCTTTGATTGCTTAATTGTCTGATGCGATTGTCTGATTTTGTGTGATAATCTGTATTTGTTTGTCTGATGCGATTGTCTGTTTATGTGTGAAAATTAAAATAAATAATTTTCTGGAATTTAAAACAGAATTGGTCTTTTAAAATTAACAATCTGTTTTTATTAAAACAGTAAAATGGTTGGTAACTCTAGTTTTAATATTATGCCTTTTGATGGGAAAATGGATTTTGCAATTTGAAAACAAAAAATGAAAAGCATTTTAGTCACTCAAAGAATAATTAGAGCAATTGAGCCAGATCATGTAGCTCAAGTTCCTCTAGAGAGGAGGGCTGAATTAGATGAAATGGTTTATTCTATTATAATACTTAATTTAGCATATCATATAACTAGAAAAGTAGGTAAACAAGAATCTGCTTTGGAATTATGGAACAAATTGGATGAACTATACACTCAAACTTCACTTCCTAGTAGGTTATATTTGTTAGAAATTTTTTTTAGTTTTAAACTTGATTTGTCAAAATCAATTGATAAAAATCTGGACAGTTTTTCAAAATTAATAAAAGATATAAAACTTACTGGTGATAAAAATATTGATGATTATAGTGCTATAGTGTTGTTAAATGTCATACCTAACTCATACATGAATGTGAAATCTGCTATTAAATATGGACGTGATTTTGTGACATTAGATGTAGTCATTAATGGGTTAAAATCTAAAGAATTAGACTTACAAATTCATAAGTTCAATAAGGGTGAAGGCATGTATACTAAAGGTAGGTCTCATTTTAGATCAAATAAAAATGGTAATTTTAGAAATAGTAATAAAAACCAGAATAATAGAAATAAATATAGATCTAAAAGTAGAGGAAATAATAGATCTAGAACTCCAAATAAATGGGGTAAAAGATGTTATAATTGTGGTGATCCTAACCATTTTATACGTGAGTGTCCTAAAAGGAAGAATAATAACACTATAAACAATAATAATAATGGTAGCCAACAACATGTTAATGAGTTAGCCAATATGACACTACTTGATCGAAATTGTGGTGATGTATTTACTGTTACTGTCGACTGTTTGAATGTGAACAATGTATGTATGAATGAATGGCTTATTGATTCTGGATGCACTTAATCGATTTTTTGTGAATACAAAACTTTAGAAAATTGCACTGTTTCCATAGCTGATAATAGTGTTTCTAATGTGCTTGGAATTGGTAGTGTAAATTTGAAATTTAACACTGGTTTTGTGCTAACATTAAACAATGTGAGGCATGTTCCTGGTTTATCAAATAATCTGCTATCTTGTACTGCTTTATCAAATTTAGAATTAGAGGAAAAATGGGAAAATGATTGTATGAAAATTCCTAAGGGATCTTTAGTTATGTTTAAAGCTGTAAAATGTAATAATCTTTACGTTACTAGTGCTGAACCAATTAATATGCCTGTAAACACAATAAATTCTGTTAAAGAGAACAGTGATTTGTGGCAGAAGAGATTAGGACACTTAAGTAATAAAGGATTAGAAATTTTACATAAAAATGGATCCTTAGGAAATGTAAAATTTAAGGCAAAATCGCCCATAACTCCTTTGTGGTTTCGAAACTCAGTGTAAATTCCCCCTCTACTTTAAAAATTGCATGACGTCCCCTTATACTTTAAAAAATGTTGCATGAAACCACTTTGTGGTTTCGAAACTCAACATAAATCCCCATTTTACTTTAAAAAATTGCATGACGTTCACTTATACTTTCAAAAATATTGCATAAAACCCCCTGCCATGCAAAACATATAGATAGGAAATCATCTTCTTATTACACGAGGAAAGTTTCATGGTGGTGGGGTTTCATGCAACGTTTTTAAAAGTATAAGGGGGTACCATGCAATTTTTAAAGTATAGGGAGATTTTACGCTGAATTTCGAAACCACAGGGGAGTTATAAGCAATTTTACCAAAATTTAATCTAGTGTCTTTTTGTGATAATTGTGTGTATGGTAAACACCATAGGATCCAATTTCTCTACCCCTAGTGAAAAACGTGAATCATTTAAATCTGTGTTGGATTATTTACATGCTGATATGTGGCGCCCAGCTAGTGAGCCCACATGGTGGATCTAGATATTTTTTTATCTATTATTGATGATTTTTCTAGAAAAATATGGGTATTTTTTATGAAGAATAAATCTGATGTGTTTGATATTTTCAAAAATTGGAAAATTAAAATTGAAAATCAAACTGGAAAGAAAATTAAATATCTTAGAACTGACAATGGTTTAGAATTTTGCAACTCCTAGTTTGATGATTTTTGTCAAGAAACTTGTATAAATTGACATAGGACTGTCCCCTATACACCCCAGCAGAATGGGGTGG